TTATTATAAATAAAAAATTAACATAAAGAAGAGCATAAAACCACAAGATATTCTTGTGACATTTAATATATAATTAATATTTAATATATTATATATAATTAATATATATTTAATATTTAATATATAATGTTTATAAATAATTTAGATGTTCTGACCATCTTCAGTAAAATTACAAATATCCATAAAACACAGAATTTACATAAATTTAATATTAAATTCAACGGTCATAAGTGTAAATATATTATATGTCAACGTATTCTTTCCTTGTAAGAGTACATCGTAAAATGGTTGCAGAGCCAATTATCACATTGCAATTAGACAAGAATTGCCAGATTCTAATTTAAAAAATTATAATCTTGTTAATATTTTCTAATCAAATTAATAAAGATTAACAATTCGTTACCTGTTTTACAGACAAAATGATGAATCTTAAACTCTTTTTTCATACAGATGGAAATTCGTCGTGACATTGTGTATTGTTATTTGTCCATATCTTCATATGTGTCCGCTATTTATATGTGCGTCAAAAATTTAGATTATTTTAGAATTATTTTTAAGTGTGAGAGAAATCTTACTTTAAAAAAGGCAGATAAACATCAGGCAAATCTTCAGTATAAAACTAATGAAACAAGAAGGAAGAATTATCTTCGACATATATAAAAAAACTAACTAATTCAGGGAGATATCTGAATTATTATTCGAACCAATAGTGCACAAAGAGGGTGTAATCATCGAGCAATTAGACAGAATATTGTTTTTATCTTATCCGAAATTTCATGAAAAAAATATTTCAAACTTATTTCACACTCTGTTAATTAATGATTATCCTCTTGAATTTATTTTTTTAACAATCAAAAATACAATGAAAACTTTAGAAAATAGAATCAATTTAGATAAAAATATTGATTGGAATAATAATGAAAACTCTAATTCTAATTTAAGAAAGAAGTTTTTTATAATGATTTTATATATATTGGGTCATCTAAAAAGTATCTGCGGTACTTTGTCACTTGATATATGACCATCAACACACATTTAGTGACAAAAAACCGCGGATACTTTTTAGATGATCCAATATATATAAAATCAGTAATATCAATAAGCAAAGTGACACTGAAGATTGCCTGATGTTTATCTGCCTTTTCTAAAGAAAGATCTCTTTCACACTTAAAAATAATTCTAGAATAATCTAAACTTTTGACTCAAATAAAAATAGCGACACATATGAAGGTATGGACAAATAATAATATTTAATGTCATGACGGATTTCCATCTGCGTGAAGAAAGTGCTTAAGATTCATCATTTTGTCTGTAAAACAGGTGACGAATTGTTAATTCTTATTAAATTGACTAGAAAATATTAACGATATTATAATTTTTTAAATTAGAATCTGAAAATTCTTGTTCTACATAATTGTAATATGATAATTGATTCTACGACCACGTTTTACGATGTACTCTTAATAAGAGGAAAGAATGCGTTGATGTATATTTATACTTATGACCGCTGAATTTAATGTTAAATTTATGTAAAAATTTATGTAAATTCTGTGTTTTATAGATATTTATAAGATATTTATATTTTATTAAAGATGGCCAGATTGTACCCACAACGTCTAAATTATTTATAAATGTAATTATATTTTAAATATCACAAAGAATATCTTGGTTTTATGCTCTTCTTATGTTAATTTTTTATTTATAAACCACGTTTGTTATAATTATATATTATAAATAAATAACATAAATAAGGATCTAAATATTATTAAGATTAAAATAATTAATAAATTATTTAATTTCATAAATAAGAAAATTAAAAGTCATTCTATAAAAAATATATTTTTTTAAATATAGAAAAAGGCGGTAAACCAGCTATATTAAATAGGATAAATAAAAATATTAGATTAAAGTTAATATTATTGGGTGCAATAAAAGAATTTTTAAATATTTTAAATAATAAACAAATAAAAATGAATGATAAAAGAGTATTTGTAATTGAATAAAAAATAGAATGTATTAATCAAGAAAAAATTTTTATATAAATAATTAAAATTATTCATCTTAATTGATTAATTGAAGAGTAGGCTATAATTTGAAATTAATAATATTTTTATTTTAAAATTAGTAATATTTAAACATATATATATGAAAGGCGAGAGAATAAAGCATAGAATTAAGATTATATATAAAGTAAAGAAAATTATTGAATTTAATTAGAGATATTATATAAAAAGGAATAATTTTTTGAATAATAATTAATATTAATAGTATATTTAATAGCAAAAATTTGAAGATTAGAATAGATAGAATAGATAGAAACTCAAAAATGGAAAAGAGAAATGTTAAGTTTAATTATTAAGGAAAAAAAATAGATAATAAATATAATTATTGTATAATAATATTATTAATAGTAACTGGACAAAGACTTAGAGACTTTGAGGGTTTCATTTTTAAAAAGGACACAACGGGATACGTTAAAATAGAAGCGGTGCGAAAACTTTTGATCGGTGACCTGATATCCTGCTATAACATTCTCGATTTAGAGTACGGCGGAAACAGAAAAGAGATAATGCATATTACATGGTTTAATGGATTTAGATGCTCTCACGCTTAAAGATAGTGAACAAGATGAGTTAGACGAAGATACAAGTAGAGGAAGAACAGAATTAGAAGATGGCGGATCACATGTGTAGCACGGTGAAGTGTGATTTGTGTATCTTTCCTGAATTATTGTCCATAAATATTGGTTCATCAAACATTTCATCGGAATCATCTTATTTCCTACAAATTTGAGAAAGATTATAAAAATTTCTGGAAAGATTATAAAAAAAAAAGAAATAATTTGAATAAT